GGGCGCGAGGGGAGGCGGGGAGGGCGGCGGGGGGCCTCCCCCACCCCTGTCACTGCGGGGGCTCGAGCCCCCCCCCCGCCCCCCGCGCGCGAGGTGGCGGTTGCTGCAGCCGTTACGGCCGTTGCTGCAGCCGTTACGGCCGTTGCGCGCGCCCCGCAGGTGCGGCAGCTCAGCACGTCGGCGGCCAGGCCCGTGTCGAGGCTGGTGAAGGTGAGCGGGCGCGGGGGCGGCGGCGGGGTGCGCGCGGGGAGGCCGCTCACGCCGCCGCTCTCCGCCGCAGCCGCCGCTGCAGGTGTACGGGCTGGAGGGCCGCTACGCCACGGCGCTCTACTCGGCCGCCGCCAAGCAGAAGAAGCTGGAGCAGGTGGAGAAGGAGCTGAGCCGCGTGCAGGTAAGGCCCGGCGCGGGGGTGCGCCTGGGGGCGYCCCGTTAGGGCCCTTAAATACCCCTGTGCCCCCCTCTATACCCCCAGCGTGGTTTGGCTGCTGTCTGAGCCTGCAGGCCGGTGTTGTGGCGGGCCTTTACACTTCCACTGCTGCCCCTCAGCTTGTTCAGCAGTCTAGCAGTAATGCAGCATCAGCTGTGAGAGCAACGTGTAGGAAATATGTGAAGCTGCCATTTCCTGCCTTGCTTCAGACCTTTCTTTATTCTCGTCTGTYTAATGACCTCGTTGCCCACTGCGCATAGTCCAGGCTATCCCTGCGGTGCCTGGAAGAATGACTTTCATGTGCTGTCCTTGTGCTCTCTTAGACTCTGATGCGGGATCCCAAGCTGTCTGGTGTGGTTATGAACCCTCATATCAAGAGCGCGGTTAAACAGAAAGCTGTAAATGATGCGTTAGCAAAGGAGAAGATGTCYCCGATTACCATCAACCTGATGAGTAAGTAAGCTCATGGATGTTGAAAAGCCTCCAAAGCTCGTGGCMGTTCCCAGCAGCTCACCAGACCTGCGTTAAACTCTCTCCTAACGCCCCCCTTTTCCAGACCTGCTCGCCGAGAACGGGCGCCTGCGCTACGCGCCCAGCATCGTGTCGGCCTTTGGCAAGATCATGAGCGCGTACCGGGGAGAGGTGCTCTGCACCGTCACCACGGCCCAGGTGAGCCCCGGGGCGCCCCAACCCACCAGCCGTCCGGAGCTTCCGCTCTCGTCGCCMCCGCAGCTGCCGTGAGCGTCTCTGTGCCGGCAGCTGCTGCTGGGATTTGCCGTCGAGATGGTGCCTGGGCTCAGGTCGGAGCTGAGGGATGAGCTGGCCGCTCGAGCCGGGTGGCTGGGCTAGAGCCTCTGCTGCCTGGCCCTGCTCCTCAGGGAGAGCATCCTGTTGTGCTGACTCCCAAACCCTGGAGCCCTCAGAAGGGCTCTCGTGAGCTGCCCACCTGGGCCAAGGAATGTGCCTCGTGCCTGGATTTCTAKAGCCCTAGCTAGTTGATGGCCTTCAGGGATAGGTTTTCATAGGTTCATATGTTCACAAGCTTTCCCAAATGTTTTGTAAGAGAAGGTRTTTTCCTGTTACCACTTCTTAGCTCTCAAACCGTTGGTGATTACATAACCTTAGTAAATAATTTAAACCCATTTAGCTAGTTTTAAGGCAAAACGGAAGGTGTTTTTGCTCTGTGAGGTGTTTTTCTGAGTTCTGGTCACAGTAATATCTGAGCAATCCCTAGGGACAGCAAAGATAAATTCACAGTGCCCTTCTCAGGGGTGTAGAATTCCCTGTGCCCAAGGGCTTCTCCCAAGCTGGAAGCAAGCTGGGAACTGCAGGCCTGTGTCCTGGGTCACTGTCCAGCACCTGAGGGGAAACTGGTTTTTGTACTTGTCAGGAGCAGCAAAGCTGATCCTTCCCTGTGGGCTGAGTGGCTGTTCCTGTAGTGTCCCTTTGTCTGAGAAGCTGCTTTTTTTTTTTAGTGTTGTTTTTTCTTTGCAGTTTTTAAGATAACAGGAATCAGCGTTACATACATTTTGTGAAAGTTCATTTTCTTCGGCTTTTGTTTGAATTTTTCAGCCTCTGGATGATGCCAGCCTTACTGAGCTAAAAAGCGCTTTGAATGGATTCTTGGCTAAAGGAGAGATCTTAAAGCTCGAGACCAAGGTATGGATTTCTATAGACTTCATCTAACTAATGTTGACTGGACTTTGGTCTCTCTGTTCTCATTGTATAAAAAGATTTTTTAGTAGCTGGATTCAGTAAAATCAATATGGGGAATATTGTCTATATTTCTGTGTTTTCATGTAGACTTAATACTGCAGTTACTAAAATTGTTGGAATGTAATGACTGTAAAATAGTATGAAACACGTTTTAAAGGCTTTTTCTTCACTAGTGTAAACATTAATACTATGATTATGAATTTTTGCTTCAGATTTTTTGAATTTCTGTTCAATATTTTTTTTTCCTCAGACGGATCCCTCAATCCTTGGTGGAATGATTGTCAATATTGGGGAGAAGTACGTGGATATGTCAACGAAGTCCAAGATCCAGAAGCTCACCAAAATCATGAGAGAGACTGTCTAGCAAGCCGTCCTATTCAGTGTTCACAGTGAAACCTGTCAGATGAATCTAATAAAATTACTGCTTCTCGACCAGACTGCTTGAAGTATTTTGAAGATTTAGGAACATAATACTGAGAAGGAGAGGTTGAGAAGCTGCAGTGAGTTTTGCTTAGTCCTCATGGACCGTTTTGTGTCGCAGTTGAAAATGCCGCCTGCCACGAGCGCGGGTCCCCTGACAGACAGGGCAGGGGTTTCTCCCGAAGCTGCTGCGTGTGGTCGCCCCGCCACGGGCTTGCTGGGTCTCCCAGGCAGGCCTTGGGCAGGACGACAGTCCAGGAGTTGTGTCGTTGCTCACGTTGCTCCTAACTGCCTAAGGACGTAGGGGTAGGATGGGTGCCGGGGCAGGTGGGTGGCTGCCCAAAGTGGCTCTGCAGGTGGGTGGCTGCCCAAAGTGGTCGGGCCCTGCTGCCCCATCCCGCCGCGTCTCCGCTGCGGCGACTGCGCCTCCCAGGCAGCTGCGGGACAAGAGCCAGCAGAGGGAAAAGAGCGGCCCTCTGGTGCAGAAGTTGTGTGGTTTGGGGCTAAATCAACTCAATATTACCAAAAAGGAGGGGGGGAACAAGGCGGGAGCGGCCGCCTCTGGGCGGCTGAATCAAGGCTACACAGGACGGGTCTGCTCGTGAACTGGGGGGCCGTGTAATTTAGTACCGTGCGTGTAGTAACGACACCCTCCCGCCAAGCAAGCGCTTTTCTTCTTTTGCCTCACCCTGGCAGCCTCTGTTTTCCTCTCTGAAAAGTGCAAACCCCGTGGTACAGAGATTAAGAAGTGGCACACATCAGGCATTAACTTACAATCAAATAAATTGCTAACTTCATTTCCCTATTGCTGGGGCTATTGCTTTGCTTATATCACAGCACTCGCGTCCTTTTATCAAAAGTATTAACATGGAGGTTTATTCGGTGCGTTTGTGACACCACACTACCCCTTGATGCTTCTCAAGAACATAAGACTACACAGTGGAACTTTTTAAAAAAAAAACAGGGTTTATTCTTGCATAATTTCACTTGCACAACTACAGTCTCATCAGTGTCAGACATTATACAGAATAAAATCTTATTTTCAGTATCAGCCGTGGTGAATGCAGCCTGGGAAGTGGGCACAGCTCCTTGGACAGCTGTAAAGACTTTCGTTCAGTTTGACACGGGTAAATAAAATCACTTAACCAAGGGGGGCAGAGGAAACAACACATCCAAAGCAACCAAGGCGCAGCTGAAATTGTCTTGAGAGAAACAGTGGTGTCTGGTTCATAATTCTTTGTACTACCTATTACAATTTTTTTTTAAAAAAGGAAAAACTTCACAGTATAGATGTATCACTGTAGAATAGTGAGATATGATCTAAATTAGCAAGTAAATTTTACACTCTATTCAAAAAAGAAAATGACCTTTTTCTCCTGTCTCTCCCCACCTTAAGACAAATGCAGGTAGCAGGTATTTTGAAATGCCTCAGTAATTTTTAGGATCTTAAGGGTACTACTACAGTACGACACTTCCTTTTCAAGAAAAAAGGAAACTAGCTGATACTGTCTGTGTGGCAACGAAAAGTGCACTAAAAAGTACCACCACCACCACCATCGGGGGGTCATTCCCCAGTTCTAAGTATTAGCACTGAAAAAAATACTACAGCTATTTCTTTTTCTTCTTCTTCTTAAGGATTTACCGACACTAAGTAAAAACTGCCCATTACAAAGTCCACAAGGGCTCATTGGAATCTAAATCCCTTCCTCGGTCCGTGCAGACCTGGAATAGGGTGTCCCRCAAAAGCCATTGGCCAGGACGCGACTGCCATGCTGCTTTTCACCATCCCACCTCCGGAATCTGGGATCCAACCTCAGATTGAGACCGGAGGCCTCTTTCCCAAGGGTCGGCCGCCGGCTTTGGGCAGCCCGTCCTGCAGGACACCAYGCTGGCGTTTCTTCCCCTTTCCCCTCTCCCACTCACGCACCCAAACCCTCCGGTTTCATTTGCACAACATTCGACAGCTGCCGCCTGCTCCAAGGTCACGCTCCAAGGAACCGCTTCCTTCCGCAGCGTTTCCCGATCCCGAGTGCGGGCTCAGCAACGCTCTGCAGCTCTAGGAGCGGCGCAAGGAAGCCACCCACGACGCGGCAGGACCTGCTCTGACAGCGACATGAAGCGACTAGGCTAGTTAGTTTAACTAACATTGTTCTACTGCAACTTTGAATTCACTTAAGTTAGGTCCTAAATATAGCCTCATATATACAGAAAAATAATTTCCCAAGGATGGTCCCTATTTTAAAATATTTAAATGACTAAACAAAATCGTGGGCCTATAATTTTTTTTTTCTGTTAGATTTACTCAGTATTTGACAACAACAACATAGCTGTGTTTTTATATCATATATACAAATAATCATATATATAATCTCTCTATATAAGCTCGTATTTACCTATAGATACACTGATATGCATGTAGGACAGAGGSTGTTTGGGCAAAACAAACCCCGGGCTATCTGTGGAATGTACACGCAGAGCAAAGCCCTCGAAGGCCGGTTGAGGCAGCCGGGCTCCCAGCTTTTCCGTGTTTCAAGGGCTTTGGCTGTTGGATCTGAGTGAACTGAAATCCCCCAGTGGCAAACAGAGCAGTAGGAAAGTGGACACCACCGCGGCAGCAAAGGCTTGGCCTCGGGACGGTTTGACAGACGCACACACGTAATAATATTACAAAATAACTTCACTAGCCACAATGTTCCCCCCCCAACCCTACTTACGTGTAACAAAAAATGATCATTATTTTTTTAAGGGTTAAAAAAACTGTAAAATGAACGTTTAAAAAGTTCCCTCATAAAAACTCATATTGAGAAAATACATAATAATCGAGTGCATCTAGAAAAAAACGACCTGCAACTTCTCCCTGCTTTGGCGTAGGGGCAGCTCGGGGCCCGGCTCCGGCCTCCAAGCTGCCCCAGGCCAAGCAGCAGCTGCACGGAGCTTCCCAAGCCTCAGGGACAGGCTTCCTACCCGCACCAAACGTGCTGTGTCCGAGGCGAAGCTCAACAGGCTGGTTTATATTTTAGAGCGTTTCCTCAAGGGCTGCAAGGGTAAGGATAGGCTTTAGGCTTTGCCCAGTAAGCACTGCCATGGACTGCTCAGTGGCTCTGAGCCACAGACACTTTGGGGGCAAGGAGGAGGAAAGCAGACCCAGCTGCAAAGAAAATAAGGATCTACTTGTCTCTTTTAGCTCGAGTTTTAACTTTTTGTCTGATAWTCTGCTTAAACCTGGCTTGATCTTCCCCTCGTGAAAGAGGTGAAACCAAGCGCTCCACGACGGAAGCCCCCCAGCTTTGGAAGCTGGATGCGTGGCCTGTCCGGAGGGCTGGGGCTTCCCGCAGGGAGGCACCTGCCTGCTCCTGCRGCCGAGCCTCCACACGGGGCTCAGCAAGAGCCTTCCCAGTGTCCCCCGTGCTGGGGAGACCCGAACTGGCGACGGGCACGGGCGAAGGGCCTGAGAGCCGCCTTGCCCATGGGCTGCGACGCTGCGGGCAAACCGCGCGKGGGAAGCAGCTCCTTCGGGCAGAAAACACAGGGATGCACAGGGGGAAACACGGTTCTCCTTGCTAACGTTAACATATATACACATCTRTGAGGAAAGAAGTGCAGCTTGGAAAAAGGGCATGTGCCCGTGTTATCTCCTGGAAGCCCACGGGAGCTGTCTGGACCGCACCAGGAACGCGAGGAGCCTGACGGCAGCATTGACACCTCCTTGAGACCTTTGTGAAGGCACCCGGCAGCACGGAAGGAAGGGGCACAGCTCAGGAGGGAATTCTTGACAAGGTGAGCGCGMGGACTGTTAAACCCCTCCAAAAGCCCAACTTCCAAGAAGCAGTGCAAGCAAATCTGTGCATAAATACAGAGCTGCATCAAACCCCGCGTGCCTTTACCTGTGATGCCTTCCTGGGTGAGAACAAACACATGGTTCATTATTAATCATGCTGCTAATGTCATTATGGATGCTCCCGGATAACTGAACTTCCGCTGGGATACTGTGGATATGATTTTAAAACAATCAAAAAGAATTTTTTCCCTATTTCTTAGATATCCCATCCTGTCTGCAACYACAACAGCACTGGCATTCTGCCTGTCCCCAGCTACCTCCATCTTCAAACAGTCATTGTAAACATTTCCAAAAATATGTGTTGTTTCTTGACCACTAACTTGATTCTGCTATAAGACTGAAGGAACCATGAGACAGAAATATCCTTCTCCTTATTAGAATTAATGTACATAGTGGGAGAATGCAATTCCCAGAATTACAGCTTGGAAAACAAGCTACAAGATTTTGCTCCTTCTTTTCCTCTTCTTTTTTTTTTCTTTTTTGCCCTGGTTTCTCAAAAGCAACCTCACTGTTTCAATGAAGGTAGCAAATGCATCAAGAAGTCACAGAAATACTTTCAGAAAGGCTCAAATGCCAGCCAAGGAGTTTGATGCTGAAGAATTCATTATTCAGTGCTTATCCAAAGGGATCACTCATGGCTCTTTCAAAGCAAACCACAATCAAGTATTACCCGGACTTGGAGTTTTGTTGTTGTCGCTTGGCAGCGCGCTGGGAGAAGTCCACCCACATCGGGATGGGGCTGGAAAGGGCGCCGCGCTCCCAGGTGTGTGATTTTCCTGGTATATTCAGAAATACATGACCAAGAGTCTAAATTACAGGGTCTGCACAAACAAAGGTATTAGGACCGCAGGGGTACAGCCTAGCATACCTGACAGCCTGAAGAGGACGCTCAGAAGAGCCCGGCTCAGCCTGCTGACACCGCCTGGCTTTGCGATMCACCAGAAGACACCCAACGTCCTACCACGCTTGTGCTGAGCTGCCCTCGCTGCCCCAAGCTCCCCACAACACCGGCCCCATTTCAAGGCCCCGGCGAGAGGACGCTGCTTTCTGCAGGAAAAYGCTAGTGCAAACGCGGCCAACGAGTCTCTCCCTCACGAAAAGTCCCCTCTGGGACATAAACTCCCGGATGCCTGTGGGATCAATGGAGATCAATGCGTGCAAGACCGTGCGACTCCAGGA